ATCATCACGGAAACAAATGGATGCAAGGGAATCCCTCATTTGTTCATGCCAGAAACCAAGGAGAAACAGAATTTTTAAACAAAATTTAGAATTGGTTACAAAAGGCTTATTATTGAATATAGGTAGCATACATTTCAGTCTCCTAAAAAATGCTATTACAGAGGATAAAGAAATCTTTCCAAATGCAAAGAATTGCAATGAGGGGCACTTGCTCAACCAAATTTCTAAATCACTTACAAAAAATGCTTCACACTTAGTGGTGGAAAACTTGTGTGTGCGTGTGGTGGGGGGGGGGGGGGGGGACCACCTTACAGGAATGGTAAATACTGACACAAGGTATGATGATTTTATGAGTCGATGCATTATACTTATATAAGTTTTATCTCATATGCAACAACTCTCAGAATAAATATTGAAATAACAACTTGTACGCAAAACCCAAAAGAAAATATGAATTTTCCTTTTTCTGTTTTCTTTGATTAGCTTCGAAGTTCTATTTTTGGTACTAACATACAGTCATATGTGCATAAAATTCTGCATCCAAAACAAACCTTTAGATATACAGGTAATCTTGACCATTTTCTTTTATAAAATTCTAATTGATCGGGAAGTATCTTCTTAGTTCTATTTTATGGTAAATAGATTATCTTTTTCAACTAAATCTCAGTATTCAGTATTCCTATTTGATAGATAAGACGAGACAAATTCTTCTGTAACGCAGTATACACTACACCTATAATTTGCTTGATGAAAGATTGTGTAAAGAAATAAAGAAAAACAGCGCATGAGAAACTTACCTTGATACCTCTATCAGCAGCTGTCCATCTTTCATAAAGAGTCATGCCCTCTGAGTCTGGATCATTAATCTTATCCAGCAAATCAAATACAATTAGCTAAAACATCAGATTAAAAGGCATCATTGTCTAAAACTTCCACTGACTGATAGCATACCAAGCTTACCTTCTTGGTGATTTCAGTAAGCAGATTGTCAAACTGAGGAGTCGTACTGGGAAAAAACCCAGGGCCTTGAACTGCACAATCCACATTTAGATAGGCCACAGATTTAGATCCAAGGTTGATAAGATTCTGCTCAACCCATTCAGTTGATCCAATCTGAATTCATGAAGAGAGAACAAGATGAGCGCAAAACAAAAGTAAAGATCATTAAAATAACCCAGGTAGCTTTGAAAAAACAATCTAATATTACATTAGCCCAGAATCAGGTTCCAGAATATCTGTGATGGGCTATTATTCTGCACTCTCTCTGTTAAATAGAGTCCAAGCCATAAAACATGCATAAAGGCCTATAAACTATAGCCACTCAAAAAACTACATGCATAAAGGCCTATAAACTATAGCCACTCAAAAAACTTTCTTACTTAATTGTCAACCCTACCAGTTTAATCATCCAGCCAGATTCACAGGTCGCGTCCACATAATATTCATGTTCAATAGCAGAACAAGAAAAGATTACAGAGAATCACAAGTCTATTTTTTGAATTAGCATACATATTTCCAAAAAGGGGGTAAACAAGTTGGACAGAATAATCTCTCAGTCAATTCTAGATATTGCACCTGATCCTACCAACAGACAGCAGAACATGCTGGTGACTTCTGGAGATAGAACAATACCTACCATCCCAAACTCTTCCGCATCCCAACTGCAGAGAATGATTGTTCTCCGAGGATTCCAACCCAAACGCATGAGAAGAGCATATCTACGAGCAATGTCAAGCAGGGCAGCGGTTCCACTATTGGGGTCAACTGCTCCATAAGTCCATGCATCTCTATGGTTTCCAAGAAGTACAAAACGATCAGGCTCTTGTGATCCCCGTATCACAGCAAAAACATTATGAACTGTTGCCATCTTTTTCTCACCCTGGAATCAGAAATAATGCAGAAACACTTCAATAAATTTCTGAGCTAACCTGCTTTATACCATTTTGGTCGGTTAACTTTAGTCGTTAAATTGAAAAGAATCAATTAAAGCTAATGGTTACATAAATTCACACGCTGTAGATTTAGGTAATATATCTTGAGAGAATTAGCAGGTGAAAATTGCAAAAGATCTATTTATCTCTTCAAAGATTGCATTAAACAACTGAGATCAGGAGATGTTCAATAAGAGAAAGTTCCTTTGACCAATATGACTTTCCTAATATGTATTTGACTCATGCATGATTGTCTTAGTGGAGCCTAAAGAATGCCATTTAAAATGAGATCTAATTAAGCATTGTGTGACAATGGAGAAATAACTATGATGAGCAACTTTTGCTTTCTATCAACCAAAGAACATATTTAACCTTTTAAGCACTTCATAACATTCATGGAAATGTTAAATCTTTGAGAAATCACATATTTGAGCTTGGCAATAAATATTTTTTTTGATAACCATGGTCTCGGGGACAGCTGGAGTACACCTCGACTAATTCCACGGGGTACCTACTACCTTCCACCAGCACAAGTACCGGGTAAGTCTATCAACTAAGGCTTGGACATAGATGAAACCACTTAGTCTTTTTGCCTCTGCTCTAGTAATTGAACCAGAGACCTCATCGTTCTCAACCCACTGAATCCACCACTAAGCTACAGTTGCAACCTTGGCAATAACTATTATGACCATTCGTATTGATATTGGAAGTAGTAGCAGTGAGACAATAGTTAGAAGCAATTCTAACAAGTAACTCGCTCCTAGCAAAATCTGACAATGAATCATCCACTTCTTTTGGTAAGAAACAGATACTCCTTGGCATAATTGAAAACTACTATGACCAAATTTGAACAAAAACATGTTTTAAAAAAAGAATTGGAATCCATGCTATTTAAATGAATAAAAGCATGAACTCCTTGAGAAATGTTAACTTATATAAAGTATAAAGTGGGTCCTACTATACCTAGTTAGTACATGACATTGGAAAAGCACTAAAAATGCTCCGTGAAAGATATTTTCACTGAGAAAAAGGTTGATACATTCTAGGTTAGCTTCGAAAAAAAAGTGACACGGCTTGTTTGGAAAGAGTGTTAACAGTAAGTTATTTCCGTAAGAGAATACATAATTACCCCCTCCAACTATGACATTGTTTTCATACACACACTTCAATTAGGTGGGTGTCCTAAATCCTAATACCCCCTTATTCTTGTTCAAGATGAGTTTATTGCCCCATTATGACCCCATGTGACAGTGAGTGTACTTCACTCGAACGTGAGATAAGCAAAATTAAGATTTTTTTAATTTTTTGAGCATCTGTTACATTGAAAATATTTTTTTGTTACTTTATTTATTTTAATTTATTTTTCAATTCTGTTTCCTCTTATCTTCTTCATCGAACTCTTCACCCATTTTCATTTTTTCCAGTATCTTCTTGCTTCTCTTTTTTCTCTCATCTTATTTCTCCTCCTTTATTCAACCTCTTTCTCCTAGAGCCTATAACCCCATAATAGTTCTTGTTAGGATCGAGAACTCGGGTAGTGCAGAATTTAGCCAAACAATGTTATAATGACAATAATAAAGACGATAGTAAGTTGATAATAACAAAAAAAGCAAATACAGAAGACACAAATTGACGTGGTTCAATCAGTGTGACCTAGTCCACTGGTGGAGAGGATCAATTTCACTATATCAACAAGGATACAAAATTAGAGTAATTAGTCTAATTAATCCCAAATACCTTAAGAAAATAATCTCACAAGATCACTCCAAAGAAAAGGTTCACACAAGTATTTTCCTTTACTCTTAAGGAAACAACAAAGAAAGAGAGCAATGAAATGTTTTCATGAGCTTCATGGCGTGGTACAACTAATGGCCAATTTCCTTATTTATAGTAATGAAATGCACTTGTTGAGAAGATACAAACATCAACATTTCAGTGTAAATATATCAACTTTTATATGGCTGCCAAATCTCAACTTTTACAATTGCCAAATCTCAATATTTACGGCTGCCAAATCTCAACATTTATGGCTGCCAAATCTTTGACAAAAAAAAAAAAAAGACCGTACAAATCTAAGTCAAAATAACAAAGGCCACATTACAAATCTCTACCTTGGCCTGAGTTTGGCGAATAAAGTAAATCTGCTCCATCCTCTCCGCAAAAGTTAAAATGGGCTAAATTATTCTTCATAAATGGCAATAAAGCTTGAACTTGCTGACTGGATGAGACTTCATGAACATGTCCGCAGGGTTGTCCGTTGCATTAATCTTCTAAACAAAGACCTTTCCTTCAGCAATGGTTTCTCGGATGAAGTGATGCTTGATATCAATATGCTTCGTTCTCTCATGATACATGTGGTGATCCTCTATGTTATACCCCAGAAAAGAGTCTTCTAGTTCTGATAACATGAATAAGAAGCTTGGCATTCCTTCTAAGCCAAACTCATCAACGATGGACCGAAATACAGTTGACACTCCTGAAATTGAAGCTCCAGAAGTTAAGTTAGAAGTTGTGACTTCTAACGTTGAACCAAACGAGTATTGCATAGCTACATACAGACCAAGGTGGAGATTCGTAATGTTGTGGCCTTCTTTATTTTGTCTTAGATTCTGGAAGGTTCATACCATGATCAAGAAAGTTGTTTTTCTTCCTCTTGACAAAAGATTTGGCAGCAATAGATGTTGAGATTTGCTAGTCATAAATGTTAAGATTTGACAGCCATAACAATTGAGATTTGGCAGCCATAATTGCTCTCTTTCTTTATTATTCCTTTAGATTAAAGGAAAACAATAGTGAAAGAAAGGAGTGATCTTGTGAGGTTATTCTCTTGGGGTATTTGGGATTTGTTAGAATAGGAATATGTATATACAATCTCACTTAGAATGGGAATAGGAATATAGATAGGAAATAGGAATAGGAATAGGAATAGAAATAGTATAATATCCTACTTGGTAAAGGATTGTATTGCGGTGTCTATAAATAAGGTTTCAATGTAAAGTTACCAATTTCAAAAAATAATAATAATAAGGTTCCAGTGTAATAATGTATATACACAATTCAACAATGTTCTTTTCCTATATTTCTCACCTAGTATCACAGTCTACGATCTTGGTATTGGTACAGAATCAAGGAGCCTCCGATGTCGGTGGGCCACTATTAACCATATGTGCCACCCGCCTTGCTAACATTATGTTAGCAAAAGTTGAGTTATCGTGTATCTTTTTGGTGGCAATTTTCTCATATCTAATTTGTGCAACACTCTGCCATCTTTCGATGACTACTTTCTCATATTTGATTGCGTAGCCGTAGCATCGTGACATATTTCCAATGAGTACTTTCACATATCTGATTTGCATAGTATGGTTCATCTCTCTAGACTACTTCTCATATTTAATTTGCATAGTACCGTAGATTTTTTCAAACTAATTTCTCATGTCTGAGTTGCATAGCACTGTATGTATGTCTTTACATTTTTACGGTGACTCCTAAAATTTGATTTGTGTAGTTCCATGCATCTTTCATGTGACTCCTTAAATCTTTTTTGCAGAGGATCGTGCCATCATTCTGACCCTGTGCATCTTTCCTGTGACCCCTTAAATCTTATTTGAATAGATCGTGCCACCATTTTGACCCTACTCATATAATTTCTCTTTTTCAGTAGGGTTGCGTCGTCAATCCAATCTTATCCATATAATTCTCTTTCTCAATAGGGTCGTCCCATCATCTGACCCTACCTACCCATATAATTTTATTCCTCAAATTGTGACCACTTTCAAACATCAAATCTATTTGTCCGACACATGAGCATATTCCGTCCAGCTTTACCGTGACTTTCTTGTTTAAGATTTACTTTTGCCCAAAAAAATAGTTATAAGTAGATATTTGGGCTGGATTAAAGTGATATTTTCACTCCCGTGGCTAAAATAGCGTATGCCCGCCTTAATCTATCTATGGTTGTCGTTCTCCATTGGTAATCAGTTGGACATTAAGAATGTTTTTCTCCATGGTGATCTTGAGGAAGAAGTCTATATGGAGCAACCATCTTATTTTGTTGCTCAAGGAGAGTCTAGTAGACTTGTATGTCGATTGTGTAAGTCACTTTATGGTCTGAAATAGTCTTCTCAAGCTTGGCTTGGAAAGTTCAACACTGTAATTCAGGATTTTATCACTCTGTGTTATATTGATATTATGCTTCAAATTTAATATTTCATTCGAAGATGAAGCACATTGAGATTAACTAACATTATGCATCAAATCAATATTTCATGAGAAGAATAAGCACATTGAAGTTGACGGTCAATTTTGTGAAGTCGAGTGATCAACTGTCAGATATCTCAACAAGCTATCCTCGTATTAATTACATTTGTAACAAGCTAGGTACATATGACTTGTATTCACAAGATTGAGGGGGAGTGTTAGAATAGAAATATATATACAATCCTACTTAGAATAATAATAGGAATAGGAATAGTATATAATATTCTACTTGGTAAAGAATTGTATTGTGGTGTCTATAAATAGGGTATCTATGTAATAATGTAGAAACACAATTCAATAGTATTTTTATCTTATATTTTTCACATGATTAATTAAAGTATTTATTCTAATATTGTACTCTCTTCTGCACCCTTGTTGATATAGTGAAATTGCTCATCTCCGCTTGTGGACTAAGACACACTGACAAAACCATGTTTAATTTGTATTTTCTTTGTTTGTTTTACTTTCGCTATTATCAACTTGCTATTGTCTTTATTATTGTCATTATAACATAGTTTTGCCAAAATTCCATGCTACCCGAGTTCTCGATCCTAACGATTCTTTGTCTACTATTTTTTCTTGTAATTTTGTTATGAAGTTATTATCCATCATTTTTTGATTAAGAGAATTACAAATCTCCAATTTAATAGTGATTCCCTTCATCATAATAATTGTTATGATTTTAATTTTCAATCTAACGGTGATTTTCAATCTTGCAATAGTGATTCCCTTCATCATAATAAAATTTTCAATCTCGAATTTTTTCGGTATCGGTATTTCGATTTTCGGTTCGATATTCGGTGTACATTTTTTTATTTTTCGGTATTTCGGTTTGGTTTTCGATACGCAATTTTTTGTTTTTCGGTATTTCGGTTTAAACCGAAATATATTATATTGTAATATATATTTATATTATATTAATTATTTATGTTAAATAATTTTTAAAAAAAAAAACTGAAAAGTAAAAGCTACTTTATACTTTTTATAACTTTTAGTCTTTTGTAATTTTACTTTATACTTTATAGAAACCCCCACAACACCTAGTGACCTAGAAGGCTAGAGACCTAGAGACTCTAATCTGAAAATAATTCTTCTTCTTCATTATTCCAAGTTCCATACTTCCATTAGACCATTCTTCCTTTCAAGTTTTCCTTATTTCATTTTTTTGGTCCGTTTTCCTCAATTTTCCGGCCGTTTTCTGGCGAACAGCACAGCTGCACAGGCGGCAGCAGACTTTCGAGTTCCGACGGTAGGCCCATTAAAAAACCGAATTAAAAAAAAACGAATTAATAAAAACCGAACCGAAATAATAAAAACCAAACTGAACCGAAATATTTCGGTTTGGTATTCGGTACACATTTTACAAGAACCAAAAACCGAAAAACCGAAATAAAAAAACCCGAAACCGAACCGAAATACCGAATGCCCACCCCTAAATCTAGTGGCTTACAGTGAAATATATGTATTGTTCTAGAAAATCAGATATCGTTCTGCTCAGTCTTCCTTTCAATTAATCAAGAAGACACGGGAAAAGCTAAGCACTGATGGATGTGTAGCATTTAAGTTATTCATGCAAGTATCTTGTTTGTACAGACTACATTCTTAATATGATATATGATGATTTGGGGTATCAAATCTCTGAAATCTAAATCTCCAAGATTTGAATACTTCTACTTCTAAAGCTGAGTGATACATTTTATACTTAAGCTGCCTCATCACATCAGATCACAGTTATTTTATCGTTGCTTCATTAATATAGGCCTAGAATCAGGTATAGCTGAATACCAAGCTCATGTTGACCCTTTATAAATTAAGAGATGTGTATGAATCACACACATATTATGTGACCAGTACAACTAGGATAAGAATTCAAAAACGCTAAAACTCTCCTAAATTAGCCATCATGTTTACGAACACCATCAAGCAACTAAAATATATCGGAAACTTTATATGTAGTTTTAGACAACTTAAAGGATCCAAACTCTAGAAACTCGTGTTCTGTTTTCTAAAGTCAACCTTGGATCAGCTTGACAAGCCAGCTAATGTTTGACAACAATGAGCAACCAAATGATAGTATTTGTGGAGAAATGCAAAATCATATGGACACAATTCTCATTTTGTACTGGATCATTAGTTTTAATGATAAAAGGAAACATAGCAAACACTGATATACACAATTACCTACAGTATTTTTGTTTGGCCTATTAAAAGAAGGTTATATCCTCTCTTTTTTTATGTAGCTAGTGAACCAAAAATTCTATTATATTCAGGACACAGTGAAAATTATCAAGTCCAGCTTGCAGCTGGTCAATGCCACTGAATTGCATGCATTATGTTACACCATGTCAAAGAATAATTCATGAAGAGATACTTGGCAGGAATTTTTACTGCTCAACTCAACTTTCATCCTGCTTTTGAAAAAATGGAAGAAGGCAAACTTGAACAGGAAGAACCTAAAAAAAGAAGTCAATAGATATGTTTACACAGGATAGCATCCATATGTTAAAATGTAATCTGCTCTCCTTGAACATAATGTATTCAATGTCTTTTTGATTATGTAAAACACCACTTCTTTTTTTTTTTAAACGTAGTGTTTGTGAGACTTTCTATATTTTAACATCATGAGCACACCTTATGATAAATCAGCAGAAATAGACTTGCTATATTTGCTAATTGTAAAAGCCCGTTTTGAGAATACTTACCATTGCATGCGCAAATGTCAAAACCTTGATGACTCGATCAACCATAAACGGTCATAGGTATGCATCTTATTTTTGTTTTTGGATTGGTAAATGGTATTGTATAAAACAGCAGCAAAACTGCTGACAAGTATTTACAGAGGGAAGCCTCATTACAACTTGTGTAATAAACTCAAAAAGTCAACCCTGACCTAAAGTTAATCATCTTTACGCCAACCAATCTACGTAAATATTCAGGTTCATCTTTCTATTACTAGACAGCCCAGATCCTCCAACATCCCTTTTCCCCTATCAGCTACCTCCCGATAGATAAGCATAACTTTAAGGTGAGACTGAACTGTCCTACTCAAACTGACCTACCACCCCACAATCAAGAATGGCATAAGCCAATACCACCCACCCCACATTCAAGATGTTTCTTATTGTCAACTATCCTTTCATTACTTCACCAAAATGATGCTTGGGCAATATTTGGAAATGCAATCTTTCTTTACCAAAAGCAGACATGAGAACAAAGAAGTAATCTTTACCATCATCTATCAAGTAATTCACCAAAATTAACAACTTAAAACTTTTGGAAAACCCAAAAACTTTAATAAATAGAACTGCATCCATCTCATTTTACTAGAAAATAGAGAAGTTGAAGACTTTCTACATACTTCCAAATAATAGTAGTCATTATCAACGTATACGACAAAATAAATGAAGACATTCAACACAAGATATTGAAAGAAAAAAAAAATGAACATAACAAGAGGGGTGAACTAACCTGGTAGGTAAAGTTGATCATAATGGGTCCAGGTCCAAGTCTTCCACTAGTACTACATCTCAAACTCTTTCTCCATTCATAAGGCATCTCAGGTCCCTCAAGTGATTTCAATATAATCTCAGCTGACTTCATTGATATAGGCAATGAATGTATACTAGGAAACCTTTGCATCACCAAAGGGTCATCCATTCTCAACTTCTCCCCATTCTCAACCCCACCCCATCCCGGACTTAATGGGTCCCCTAAACCATTCATCACTGTCCCTCTTTCAACCCCATTTTCAAACTCACCCTCCGTAAACATCAATACCGCTTTCACCCCTCTCGCCGCCGCCTTCTCCACCATCTCATTCCTCGATAACCCACCACCCCTCCTCACAATCCCAACACACCCTTTAACCTTCACCCCACTCGCACCAAGGGCAATATAGTCCTTTTCCCTCCCATAATTCAAAAAACACGGCTCACCATACGCCGACCCAGATGGCGAATAAGCATGATAAGGCTTCACAACGCCGCTAGAAGAAAAACCCGGCTCAACCAAACCTAAAGAAAGCACCGACCCATTTGGGAAATGGAGAATAACTGAAGAAAACAAAGGGTATGATAGAAGAACAGAGTAATTAGCAACATGGGTTTGAAGATTTAAGGATTGAAAATGAGACTTCACGTAAAGAGCTGTATGAAGTGAAGGGGCTGTACCAGCAAGATGAGGGTGGAGAGTGAGGTGACGAAGGTAGGTAGCGAGGGTGTAGTTAGTAGCGGAAGAGATGAAAGAATTGAAGTAAAAAAGGGAAGTTGGTGTTGAGTGTTGGTAATAGTTGAGAGTTGTAAAGAAAGCTAGAATGAAGAGCATGGAGAAGAAACTCCATGTTTTGATAGAAAAATGGAGATCTGAGCACAGATGAAGCATTTTTGTTGTATGATTTTCAGATGAATGAATGAAAAATTGTGTATACAAATAATTCACAACTTCACATCATCTTTGTTTTGTTTGTTTGTTTATAAGTAACTGATGAGTTTGAGTGGAGTTTTTTGCTTTGCTTGTTTTGGGTTGAAACGAAGAGAATATATTCTCACATGGGTCCCATTTATGTAATTTGGCCTCATATGAGTCTTAAATGGGGACAACAATGGGGAGGGTCGGGGGTGAAGTGAGGAAGGTTAGGATCATAATCCGCAAAATTTTTAATTTGATTAGCTTCGCTATATTTGAAGAATTTTTTTGGTTTTGTTTTAATCCACTCAACATCATATTCACTAGACTTTCTCCATTTTGTCTATATTAAGTTTATCTTCATTTGTTAACAAATTTTTAATTTCTTTATCTTCACAATGGAAGATTTTTATGTTACTTCTTGATCATAAAGTCATTAAAGTAATCGTTTGGGACTTTAAATTTTTCGGAGCTCCTAATTTTTCCCCTATAGATATGTTTATAATTATGATAAGAACTTTTTGGCAGAAATATAATAGTAGTAATTGTTTACTTTATTAATATGGAGGTCATTGTAATAATTAAGAAATAAAATACTTTTAGTTTAATTATAGCATCATTTATTACATGGCTGCTACCTATTTTGTTGTCTTATTTATATCGTGCTTATCATGAAATCCGCATTACTATTTTTACATTTATCTTTTTTATTTCCCTTTTCAGCTGACTTAAATTTTCACATCTATTTTAATTTTCCCAAAGATTCATCAATAGAAGGTTATTGTTAGAGTTGGGCTCAGTGTGGTTGCATGGTTATGTGGGCAGTATTTCGATAGTGCGGGTAATTGGTATGGTTCAAGATGGGAGGAATATCCCTAATGGCTAAAAGGTGTTGATTTGGAGTATTCAGTTGAGAATTTCACTTATGAGCTATTCAACATCCTCTTTTGTTGGTTGGTCGCTTCGTTGTATGGTATTTGTATGGTATTGGTTCATCTCAGATTAGTCAGTTGCGTTCAGTTGAGTTGGGTGTGGTTAAATGGAAGTTAGTATCAAAAGGAGGAATTGGTTGGCTACTAGTTGTGAACTTTGGAACGATGAGGTGAATTTGAGAATTTTGTCTCGGCCTGAGTTCTGGGTTGGTGTTTCCCAACTCGAGAGGGCATCTATGTATGGTAGAGTGTGCAAGCCTAATGCCCTCATCTTCTGATCCCTTAGGCTTCTCATGTTCCTTCACTTTTACGAATGGAAGTTATTTTAGTATTTGATGTTGTAATGATCCTCAAGGTCATTTTTGTTATTTCTGATTTGTTTAACATTTAAAGCTTTCTTGTAGCGGCCCCAAGTCATTTATGACTTGTTAGGACTGATACTTCGTTCGCTAGGTCATTCGGTTGAGTTTACTACGAGTTTTTGATTTTGGAGGTTTTAAGCTTGAAAGAGTTGCCTTTAGTCCATATCTAGAGATTTCGACGCCAGAACAAAATTCCATCAGCTTCCAGAAGGATCATGATTAGTTTGAGTTTTAAAGGCTTCCATTTTGAGTTGGTATGAATAGACGTTTTAGTTTTAAAGTTTTGCTTCAAGTTTGACTTTGATAAAAATATTTCGGTAAATGCGCTCAAATTAAATTTTAGTCAGCATGACTGGCTTTGAAATGCCGAGTTTAGTCTAGAACAACCTTTGATTTAGTTTTCGAAGGTATTGGACTGAGTTTCTAGCTTTTGGTGTTTTGTCTGTTTTCATATTTATGTATTGACTTTGGTCAACATTTTGAGAGGACCTTGTTTAGTTGTTTCATCGATCCATTGAGTCCATAATATTGTTTTTAAGTGGTTTGCACTTTTTGTTTGCGTAGTTTGGACTCCTAATGAATTATGAGGGTTTGTTCAAAATTTTGGACACTTGGCCGATTTTGTTGGTGCGACCCTTGCTGGTTCAGCTTGGGCTAGTCTGTACGTTCGTGGACCTAGTCCCCGTGTTCACAAAGTCTTGTGCTACTTTCCCTTTGCGTACACAGAGGTCCGTTGCTTGGTCTTGTATGACCAACAACCATCTCAGTCGACCTCATTCCTTTTTATGCGATTTTTTGAGCAATGGAGCTTAAAGTTGGGTGATTCCAAGTGCTGAAAGTTTGTGTTGATCGTGGATATGCATTGGAATGTTTGGAGAGGTGTGAAGATTATCTGTTGGAGGTAGATCCCACCCTAAAGGAGTTTCCCAAACCCTCTTTAATGGTGTTTTCTTGTGATTTTTGTGGCATGGACTGTTTTAGCCCATTTTCAAGCTCGGGTTGTGCCCATTTTCAGGGCACAAGTTCCTTTAGCTATTTGGGCCTTTTGGTAGAGTGAAAGATTATCGATGCGGGTTTCGTATGCCCATTTTGACTCGATTTTTTGGTCCATCTCTAGTTGTTGCATTTTTGGTGTCTAAACATTTGTATGGACATTATGATCAATAATTTTTAAGCATGGCAGTGTTTGGAGGAATTCGGGAAGTGGATAGCTTTAGTTCCACAATTGTGGAGCGCACGTGTTTGGCTTCGAGGTAGGCTACGATCTACTTGTTCTTTGATTGTGTGTAGCAGATTTAGGATTATCTCTATTATCCTTATTTCCTTGATTCCCGCTTGAACCTTAGAATAGTGAGAATTATGAAATCCTTAGTTTAGGTTGGAGATTATTTGCCTGTCTCTTAGCTTTGTATTTTTAATGTTTTTAAAGTCGTAATTTCGTACCTTGTTAGTAGTTGGTGCGACTAATGCCTTAGAATGAGTTTCAATTTATCCTCCGATATTATAGCTTCTTGGGAGTGGTTCTCGAGTTTGGTTCTTTCTGCTAGTGCGGATACTGTAAGATTGTGTAGGTTGTGGGGTTTTGCTTCAATTAAAATTGTACCTATGATGAGGTTCATATCCATTGGTTAGTTTTGGAACCTTCGATATTTATGTTTGTCGTAGGTGGGGGTTAGTTGTGTTTGTACCTCTTTTTGGTGGTGTCTTCGAGTGGAGGAGGTATTTCTTGGGTTGTACTTCTTTTCGCTGCTTGCTTAGAGTGGTTTCCTTTCTCTTGTTATATATGTTGAATTGGTTGAGGTATGTCAGGCCACGACCTTGTTCTAGAACTAGTTGGATCTCATGTTAATTCTCGTGAGAGTGAGATGGTTGTTATTTATTCTATTTGTGATTGTGAGCGTGTTGTTTGAATTCTTGTGATGGAATGCATTGCATTGGTTTTCAAATACTTTTGACATGTAGTAAGGTCCGTTGCATATATTGTTTCTCAACATACTTTTCAGAAAGTAGGATTTTCGCTCGATTTTTTTTAAACTGATCTTTAATAGGGGTACTACCTTTACTGCTTTACAAATGGACTTGAGGTTTAAAGGAATCATGGATGTACTCAATTTCACAGATTTTGAGGCATCTAATATGAGCTCATTTTTACTTGACTGGTCAAAGAGTATCCGATCCTTTCTTTACTATTGAGGTTATGATGATTATCTACGGTCACACTGACGGAGCGAAAAGTCTTATCGCCAACATTATTGATTGTTGTTTGTACCTGATGGTCATATGGGGGTTGTACAAGTTTAGTTTGTTGTTATGTACCTTTTGAGTGCATAGTGGTTCGATAAGACTATTTTTTGACTTTTTTCTTACTTGTGGCAGTATGAATGGTGGTACTTAGTTTGAAGGTAGATATGGACCTTGATCTTTGTTTGATGATTTTGTGCAAGTTCAGTTGGGGATCATCTTCTTGGTTGTCATGCGATATATGTGATTGTTTCTATTAGTATAACTTAGGCTAGTCGCCCACTAATAGAGACTAGTCGTGAGTAGGTTGATAGTCTAGTGCATAAGTTCTTCTTTTCTTTCTTTTTATGTTTTCCGTATCTATTTTCTTTACTCTCTACCCCTTACTTTAGATTGTTTCTTATTATATTATTTATGTTGTTCCTTTAGCTATATATGTTATATGCTCCTTGTTTTTTGTGTTTACTTTATCTTTGGAGCTCAATCGGTCTATGTCTACTGTCATACCCCGAGCCTACCCCA